GAAACCTTTTACTTATAATGTTGAGCAAGCGCACATATCATGAGTATAGCCTCAACAAATTCATTTCGTCGTCTACGCAGTAATTCTGAATTTACACATCATACGTTTCCTGTCGTATTGTATGATCAGTAATACCGCAGAAATGTTCTCAATAAATGTCACCTAGCTTCTAAAACAGTCTTAACTATTTGGGACCGCGCCAAGTAAGATTTAGTGCGTTACTATTGTCAGCTTGAGAAGGCCATCGTGTCAGTGAAATGTTTAATGTGTGATGCACTTAGGGAAAAAATGACCTATTCTAACTATAAACTTCCGCGCCAGAGTATTTTTGGAATCTGGTCTAATTCTGGTTATTTATTTTGTATTTTTAGTGAAAACGACGATATTTCGGTAAGATTTTGGGTTAATTGCAATCAATGACATAAAAGTTCTCGATTCTGCCAAACCCCAGGGCTCGCCGCACCCTTCGAGGTATCTTCATTCATAAGCGCTGCAAAAATAGACGCCCGGTGAATTTAACTGATGTCTGCAGTTAGATGATAATTATCTTGTACTTGTCGCGATGTTCTGAATCTGTACTGTCTAGGAAGAGCAGACAGATTAGAACGATGTAAATATTTTAAAGAAATGTTGCAAGTATGACGTACATTTGACTTTATCTTGGGCCTTTTGTCGGAATTTTTTTAACGTGGGGGAATTTAAGAGATGGCGCAATGCAGTTTATTTTGTCGGTACATGGTTTTGCTGATGCCACTAAAGCGGCTTCTTGGGCCGCTACGAGAATGCAAGCTAAAAGTCTAACACAAGCCAATCCTTAATGATTATAAATGAAGGCAAGTCAAATAAAATTACAAAGGAAACTGCGCAAAAAGTTTAAACTTTATCTTGGTTCGTTTTCAGGATTTTATCTTGATGGGCTCTTTCCTGTACCACCTTTCTTCGAAAGCATTCATGCCAAGATTTTGTGGAACCAACTCCGAGGATACTTTCGAGGTATTTTCCTGTATATTAATTTTAAGGAGTATAACAAAATGTCTTAACAGAACTTCTGACGCAAGATTTGTTTGAAAGGTTATTAGGCGTGTTAACGTGCAATTTTCCCTCCCCCTACTGATGTTTGGCATAATTGTAATGACCCTGTATCGCCTTCCAAGTTCACCGCCACTTCACGCGTGGGGTCACATGATTGCATTTATCGGCCAGCTTCTGGGACAGATAATCAAAGGTGTCACAAACTGCGCTGATGCTCAACTTCTCACGGTGGCTAGCAAGTGCGCACACACCAACGCCCTCTCCCCATATCCGGTCTGACCAATCACCTCCCGCAGGGAATTACTGCGACGACTATCAGGCTCGCACATTTCGGACGAGGCCCTCTCGCGAGCCGTTGTGCACCCGTCCGACCTTTACTCCAATATCCTTATGCGGAATCTAGAATTCGTTTCACCTGGCCTTCCATTTCTTACGTCCCCTACAGAACCGTGCCTGAAAATTGCAAAGGCTAGCGTTTTACCTAATACCCTAACCCACTCCAATATACCTGTTAGGGGTTTTTCTCTAAGCTGCTGAAAGTTAATTCATGGATGAGGAAGAAGGGTATTCGAGCACCGCATCATTTTTTAAACTATCCTAAGCCTTCAAACGCTTACAGAAGTCCATCGTCAGAGATGAGAAACAGTAACAAAAAAGGGGCTAAGTATGGTGAGTGTACACCAATCACCTGTCAGGGGTCGTCAGGTTGCAAAGAGGTAAGGCACAATGAATAAGGAGGGGAGGGAGGTAACTGTGGGTGTATATGTTATTTAGCTGTCAGTGGTGTCAAGCTTCGTCAGGGCGTCAGCGACGCAATGGGGATAATTATAGGGGATGTGGGCCAAGTTACCGCGAGGGACGTCTGGGTGTGACGGCACGTGACTGCGCAAAGTTCTGCACGCTGGCGTCAACTCGACGCATCCGATGATTGAATTTTCGTCCGTCGACCAGGCTTCGAAAAATTCCGGGCTCGTCTTGTTTCCGATGGGGCCGAGTATCTTGACGGCCGCAAAGTTGAACTTATAAGTTGAACTTTCATAATTAACAGGTGATAATTCGTTGCCCGCTTATGTATGCGAGATTTGAACATGTGCTCAGTTTGCCCTGCATAGTAACAAGGACAAGTTACGCATAAAATGCGATACACTACCCCGGATTGTTTAATGGAATTCAGTTAGAATTTTATTTTCATTACCCTGCCGCGCATCGTAGTTTTGGGTCTGTGTGAAAGTCCAACACCTGGTCCCGCAGCGGTGCGCTCGCTCGCTTCTGAGACGTCTCTGATGTAGGGCAGAGCGTGTCATATCCTCGGTGGTTCTTCTGTTTGGCTCCTCCGCGGCTGAACACGTAGGCATGGGCTTATGAATGCCCTAGAACCGCCACTCCGCATGAATTGATCGCGGAGATATCGGGCCTCGGGTGCCTTTTTCTTCGGCTTACTGCAGTTAGTCTGAATCCGTTTGAAGAGCGTTTTTACACGGCTTCGTTTGTGGGCAGCCGGATGGTTGCCGTGCAAACGGATAAGTTGGGTTTTATTTGTTGCCTTCTTGTAAACGGTCGTCTCTTTTTCACCATTGAGCGTTCTCTTGACGAGGACATCAAGGAAAGCCATCTGCTGCCCTTGTTCTTCTTCCCTAGTTAATTGTATGCCAGGAAAGCTTTCATTGAGCAAGTTATGGAAGTCATGCGGCATATTTTTCTTAACGATAACAAACGTGTCGTCCACGTAACGACGCCAAAAGACAGATTTACTTTGGTTGAGGCAGTGTTTTCTAAGTCTTGTAGGACCATTTCTGGCACTAAGCCAGAGGCCTTACGAACTGATGACCCCTGAAAGCTGATTGATGTACACTCACTTTTTGTTACTGCTTCTTACCTCTGCCGATGGACTCCCGCAAGAGTTCGAAAGAGCTCAGGATAATAAAAACAATTGATCTGGTGCTCGAAAACTCTCCTTCCTTATCCGTACAAGTACCTAGAACGCGAACGTTTCCATTCATTCATTCATAAAGTTAATTCATATATTCTTATCGAATTGAAGGCTAATTCTATTAGGCTTGACGCTTGACTTTATTCCAATTACGTGCATAAAGTTCTGATGAGTGTAACTCTTTTATTTTGAAAACTCATCGAATAGCCCATAATGTTTGAGAGAAATAAGTTGGATTTTGCGGGTTAACTGGAAAACGCAGATACCAATTTCAACATCCGTTTTTCTATCGAAAATGGAAAATAATTTTGGTTATTTTTTGTTTTCCCCTCCTGCAGTCTGATAATTCCGAATCAAACTTTATTCACAATTAGTTGAACTAATGGCGGACGTCAACTGAAAACCATCCTACAATCGTTTATTTACCAAAAGAATAAACTGCGTATAAACTGTTCGGCTTGCAATGCTCGGTTAATATTGATTTTAGCACTTTCAGCTAAATTCACAACAGCAAAAACTTTGAACGACCATTACAAAGGGATGGTCTTAAGTAAAACTGGCCTCAATGAAGCATATATAGGTGACTGTACGTTACCATAAAGAGTTAATGGTCAGGTAGGATAAATGTCCAAACTAGCCGTTCGTTGTTATGCTTACTCCATAAAAACTTTCTCGTTATGCTTCAAACGTAGGATCGCTTCACTCCTTTTGCGACACCGATTATTATAGCCGCAACGAAGAACTTGAAATAAGATGACTTATTTACTGCCAACGGTGATAATCGAGCAGCTAAATGACCGGAACTATTAAAGATTGAACATTTATTTAAGTTGATTCCGCCGGCAAAATATTTATTTGTCAAAAACACCAACATACAATCGGTCAAAAGAGGAAACGATTATAATCATAGACGAGAATTGAGACAAAATATACGTGATTTACCAATTTGTGCAATCAAGAGATACATATATGCTGATTTTGATCTCTTACTGTTCCATATTTGCACACCAGAATGCACAACGTATGTTGTAGCAGTTCCGAATGAGCCATCTCGCCACATTTAAAAGTATGTGAAAATACCCCTCGGACTTGTGTCGAAAATGTTGGCGCATGTATATTATTGTTAAATATTAAATAATAACGCACGCATGAGGTTTGGAGACGAATTCAGTACACCTCTGTTCTGTAGGCACAGTCTTTGTATCGTGATTCATGCCGCATCTTGGGAATGCCTGCTGTTATTAACTTCACTGTTGACATGCTTTCGTGCAGTATACACGGAAAATGTGACATTTTAGTCATACATACACACATTTATGAAAAAGTCGGCGAAGGGGTACCAAGTGCAATTAGACCTTAAAATTTAACAGATAATGGGTAGATAGGTCAGCAAGAAATATTAAGCGTAGATGTATGAATAGGAATTGATGAGAATATGAAATCAGCTGTTTTGTTTACTGTCTGTCAAATTTCGCTCTAGTTGATAAATCCAATATTAAATGATTATGGTGATTTAGTGTCGGGAATTTTGAACTGGTGTCTTTAATTTCTCAGGAGTCATGGAGGAATGGTAGTCGTTCGTGCGTTCGTTCGTTCGTCCGGTGCCTCTCTGCTGACGATAATGGCAGCATCCTACGTGGTGACAGGCGCCGAGACTCGGTTTTTCGGTGGTTGACGTGAATCTACTACTTGCAGCAGAGGTGAGGGCATCAGGCCCTTTCGGCTTATCCAGATCCACCATCGAGAGTTGACGACGAACCTGCTGTGCGGCAGACCTGTTGGTACTCTGGTTTGTGCTGTCACCGGTCGGAGAGTTGGGATCCTCGCGCGCAGCACCCGAGATTAAAGGTTTGCCTTGTGCTAGGGTAGAGGTGATAACGCCCTCAGGTGTTATCGGCGATTTTACTGAGGTACTGGGCAGAGAGCCAACTGGAAGCAATGGAAAGCAGGAGGAATTTAGTATGCAGCTAAAGAACGGCGAATTATGCTTGGATTCGAGAAATTAAAACAAGATTATCAGGCAGGTTTGACAGGTGGGATAAATATCTACCTTGTGGGCATACAGTATGGGCTAAAATTGGGGATCTTTCATAACTTTGTAAAAGATTGACCATTACGCTCATACCGGGGTGAACGCATTTTAGAAAACTTAGAAATAATAATGAAACATCATAAGGCATATTTAAAACTTAAAGGAACTATAAGAAGCATTTATTGTTTCTGAAGAAATATAAAAATTTCCCGATAATCCCCAAGATCCGGAGACGTAAAAATAGCTATAAATTAAAATGATAAATTTCAACATTTTGCATGGTTCAAAATTTTATGTAACCACTCTGTTTATGCAAAAAATAACTTTTCTTTAGTCAAAATGTTTTGTTTATATTACCATCAATGGATAACAGTTAATTTACTATCGTCCTTTAAATTCTGGTATAATATTCTGCGTTTTCAGTGTCTTCATATGTTCATCCATCAATTAACCTTCTGTTCGACGTTTACATCAAAACATTTAAAATAAGGTACACACCAAGAGAATTGACCGAAAAAGTAGTTTTTTGATATTAGTTCTTATGAACATGGCCATGTGGATCATAGTTAGAAATGTCTAAAAACAGCAAACCACATTGTAGAGAAAAAATAACGTCCACAAAATAACTGTAATATTGTTATTCCTAAGATGAATAAAAACACTTTCTATGATAGGTTAACTCTCTAAAAGTGGTTTAGTTGGATGCTTAGGTGATGAATTTCGGTGTATATTACCTTTTTCCAAGGTAACCTCAAAACGAAATAAGAGACTTTTGACTTTTTTCTAAATTTACGTGAAGATAAACGATTCAATTTTACTGGAGATGAGAGAACTAGCGTTTCTATTCATAAAGTATTATTTTCGACTATAGCGAATTACTTCCAGGATCTGTTAAAAGCTTGCGAATGCAAAAAGAGTGGCCATTTATAGGGCCTTTTTAAAATAATTATTACCCATCTCTCTCCTTTGTTTCTAAATAACGCATAAGCGGAGAATATAACTTAAAAAAAGTATATTTATACATGGCTTACATTTACTAAGGCCTGCTTTACATTACCTTCACGGTAACATATACGGACACTTGGATGAGGTGCCATCTACGTTGATGCGGTAAAACAAATGTGATCAAAACGTTTTTGTTACTGCATTTTGTGCATGAAGCTTCACAGGTTAGCTAAATGAAATTTTTAAAACATAAATCGTTCCTTATTTCTGAAAATAAATGCGACTCCTTCAATTTGGCTTCATTTACATCTGCACAATTTCGGACAACTCTTTCCAGTTTTGGAGGTGGCATATTTTACATTTTTTAACCTATTTTGGAATTTCTCAATATCACAATGCACATTAATGAAAGGTTTGGTTCTGCCATACGTACTATCACAGGAAATACCTTCGATATGGGACTACTCCCAATTTGGCCAAAAATAATGCCCATTTCTCCTAATAAACCGAAATAAATGTCGACTTTCCTAACTGGAGTCTTTCCCAGGATTAAATCCACTCAAAGAATCAAAATAATGTGACCAAATATATATTAAACTACCAAGTCAAATTTTATCATGAAAGTTGCGCGATGTTTAGCCTACACTGTATGTATGAACACAAATATGTTTTATAGCTTTCAAGTTGTTTCCTTTGACGAGATGAGAATTAATCTTGAATCTGCAGCCGATGCGAGATTTGCAATTCATTAGACTGCTTGGTAGAGTAAAACCGTAGCCCTCTTCCTTCGACCACCGCAAGCACCTCAAAGCAAAGAATCGATTACTAGGCAGATAAATCAACAAGCATATTGGCTAATCGCTCTTCAAACCTGAAGTTCAATGAAATATCTGAAAAATTCCGGATACGGCTCAAAGCTATCTTTAACTTCTGCAGAATGCAGGAGTAAGGAGGCAAACTTATCAGCGGATGCTGTGACCTACGTTATACATCTATTCAAAAGTTAAGTTTTTACTTTGACGTCTAAAGAGAGAATGGAAGGAGAGAAAAAGCAAAACTAGGATCATATTACGACCAACCAAAAAAGACCTAACTTGTACGAAGAATATTCTATGGTTGGTGATTGAAGTAGCTGTTGTCATGATTGTCTGTTTTCCCAGGACAATAGAAAGTAATCCGTAGATCGCGTAATTAATCAGCCCGAGTATCTTACAACGGAAATCCAGTTTCAGTTGTTTAACCATCAATTTTGCGGACAAAATTGAAAATGATCATGGATGAATAAACTGGAAAATAATGGCAATGCAGTTGTACAGTTGTAATGTTCAAGGGCATCATGAGGCAGTTGTCCTTACCCTAACTTTAAGCAGACTTGAGGAAACTGGAATAACTTTTTTAATTGTTTCGTTTTACTCTTTATTGTTTGATCTTAATCATTTTATAGTTGTGGGCTCGTTGATTTTGAGAGAACTGCCTGCCTGTAATTCAGCAATTTATCTAAATATTCCGTTCATTTTATTGATTTACAGATGATATGATTCGGCAAGTTCAGTAATAAGAATGCCGGAATGGCAAAATAGTAGTCGTGTTTTAACGCCCTCAGTTATGGATTTACAATCGGATTTCCCAGAAATAACCGTTATATATATTTATGAGGCCATATAGTGGGGTCTGTATGGAGTTTTAACCAGATAAATTAATTGGTTTATATTCTGGTAGCAGCGCTCAATTGCAAGTTCGGCTCTTTTGGAGATACGACTGGCTTATTACTGATCTGTGTTGTTACGAAAATTAGAAATAACGATCAAATCTGCGTGTTTGTCGGTAATTCATCCATATATCTTCCAACACGTGAATTCCTCAAGAATAGCTAATTCTCACCGACCCATAAACGAAAAAACTTTCCTGAAATGGGGTTTGGACCTGCAGTTTGGAACTGAGCTTTTAATTATAAAAAGATAAAAAAAGAGCCCGGGAGAGAATTCGCAGAGGAAAATGACTCGCGGATTGTGGTGTCATTGCTAGTATGCACCTTTGATTGCTGTTTGCCGCACGGTCGCCCATTGAGGACTGTTGACCCCTGAATCATAAATAAGTAATGAAAGCTTATCTTCATTCTGCAATTTAGAGGGAGCATTTTATGCTACTCCAGCTGTAGGCAGTCTCCCATTTAGATTTCCATCTATGGTAAGGTTAATTGCATTTGTTCATTAGTCCACGTTAATGTTTATAGGGAAGCTTCCCGAGTGAATTTTGATTTAATGCCAGAAAATATGATTCTCTTTAGTTAGTATTACACCGTGCAGATCCGACAGCGCGACTTTTTTTCGAAAAGCCAAATAGTTTGCCAAACACCGAAGCACGTTTTTTGCGTTAGCAATGCTCATTTTGTGATCAGATCGAGGAAAACCTTTAGTACCCTTATCATTCTCTCCACCGAAAAATTCACAAAGGAACTGGATGCAATTTATTATGAACGCTTTTTAGTCACTTGTAGAATTCATGCGTGTTTGGAGCTTGCTTATGACTGCGTTTTTGTTAGAACATCCAAGGGAGGTTTTTACCCATCTGTGTCATTATATACCGACAGAGTGTGTTGAGTAGCAGAAAAAAGTTCTCTAATTATAAGTCTGATTCTGCCCTGAGGCTATACGACCACTGCGCATTTTACTAGCCTACATAAAATAGGTTGCCCATTTAAAAGTACATATAAGCAAACAAACTTTGCAATCAAAGTAAAGGAATAGAATATCAGTACACGCAAACCTACCCAAACCAAGGCCTTGAAGAAACAAACGCAGATTTTCAGCAACCTTTTCTGGCTAAAATAAAATAAAATATGTGCGATCAGTTGACCATGCACATGCAAACAAAGATATGTTTACACCAACGTGTTTCCCTGACTCTCCTTTAGGCATACGAAAATAATGCAAAAGGTTGAAAGTAAACTCCATCTAACAAAGAATTAAAAATACGAAAGGGTCAGAGTTTATTCAGTACTGTTATTAAAATGCGTAAACTAAAGCTTAAATATTGGATTTAAACGTGGTCATCCTATTCCTAATTTTGTGCCAGGCACCCAATCAAATGTTGGCTATAATAACTATGTCAAGTTAAGAACAAAGCTTTTGCCCTTAGACCACTATCACACGTTAAATGGAAGACATACCAAAAGATAACTGTAGTTTAAATTATTGCAGTTAAGCATGTAGGTTGCAAAGTATAGTGTGTGACGTTAGCGGATAGCCATGGGACTCTGTGTGTGTAGTTCAAATCAACCTAGTTTAAACTATGTAGTTTGTCTTTTCATCTGCAACTCTGCGTCGAGAAACAAAAGGTTCTCATGTGACCAAGTCATTTGTGGGAGTTTATGAGCATCTTTTTTCAGGCAAATGTCTACCAAAATTAAAATTTCTCCGAAACATTATTACTAAAAATCTGCCCAATTTGTTTACGTTTGGTTTTTACAACCACACAACTATTACCATCCTATTATTACGTGACTAACAAACGCAGGCTATGGGGTTAATAAAGATCGCTAAGTTGAATATGTGAAGGACATTTTTGGGCTGTTAAGTTGAAGAATCGACGTTATGGACCAAGTGAGCATAGTCGACTTGAGAAAAAGCAAAGTCGCATACAATCTCTGAGATATGATTATAAGGAAATCAACAGAAAGGAAGTGGTTCAATAGTCACAATTTATTTTTCTGACTGCCAGAGAATGCTTTCCAAGGATCTTTACTTCCAGGGTTAAATTTATCCTTTGGATGTACCCTAAATCACAAGTCACAAATGAAGAAAATTAATTCCGTTTTTCTATGTTTTGCCAAGATAATTAAGCTTGCCCGGTCACATTTTATTTAGGTTGAAGGCAACGAAAATTGTTTTATTATCGTCCATGCTTCATCATAATTATTAAGTTGATTTGGCACTGCAGAATATTCACACTCACTATGACCTGTATTGAAGACCTAGACTAAGTTCATAGCTCAGCATAAAAAATACGTGATGAGAATGAAAGCAGAAAAACCCTTTACATTTTAAAAATCCATCCAGAAATCGATGGCCTGCAAAATTTTCAG